ACAAGACAGCAGAGGTCTGCTGCCCATGTGAGTCACCTCTCTGGCTGTGGATGGAACACCAGCTACAGTGCTGTGATAGCCTCACAGTGCTGCGTTTTAACCCTTGCGCCACCAGGAAGGGCCCAAGAAATAACTTGCTTTAATAGATCCTTGGTCTTTCCTGGTTTTGTTCTGCAGGGGAATAACCTGACGATGCATCTTATCTAATTGCCAAACATACCCTGCTTAATAACAAACTGTAAATGACCACTGACACAATCTTATCAGCAGCTGGATTTTGCAACCTAAATTATTCCCCCTCCCTTTTTCCCCCCAGGTGAAAAAAAAAGTGAAAGTGATAAAGCAACACATTAAGAGGCTGTCCTCACAGAGCATCAAGATGGAGCCCTTGTGCCTCAGGGTCACCTTTTGGGCCTTGCTGGCTGGATGTGTAATCGGAGATAATCCCGAGAGCTACAGTGCAAATCTAAGCACTCACTTGGATGATTTCACCCCTTTCCGAGGGACAGAGCTCAGCTTCCTGGCTACCACCCAGCGACCCACCAGCCTGGCCCTAACTAGCAACCGCTCCATGCACAACTACTGCCCTCAGCAGATTAAGATCACTTCAGCCTTCAAATACATCAACACTGTGATATCTTGTACTATTTTCATCGTGGGAATGGTGGGAAATGCAACTCTGCTCAGGATCATTTACCAGAACAAGTGCATGTGGAATGGCCCCAACGCGCTGATAGCCAGTCTCGCCCTGGGAGACCTCATCTATGTGGTCATCGACCTCCCCATCAATGTATTTAAGGTAGGAAGTAAGTGCGGAGTGGAACACGTGCTCTGCTTGTGCCGTGAGCGGTGCGGTGCGCGTTTCTAACCTTGGGGTGCAGTCTGCATTTTCCTTAAGCGCGTTAAGAACAATACCTGTTCTCAAAACTCAGTGCCACTTACTGTTTGTTCTTATTGTTTGTTCAAGATTAGACTGAGTTGCTAACTTGTTAGTCAGCTCCTATCTCTGGGGTGACTCTTCAAAGCCATGGTTTTTCAGGAATGAGATTGCCATGCCAGCTCTGAGCTTGCTGGCCCGCTGGCAGGCTTGGGAAGATCATCAGGCTTCTAAGATTCCTTTCCCTCGGTAAGCCCTGGGAGCCCCAAAAGCCCTTTGATGAAATAAACCTTGAGTTTGAGTTTGGGTTTTTTTTTTTTTTTACTATGACAGTGTTCTGAAACCAAATAGCCACAGTATGGCTGGAAATATATAAAAAGTGCCTGGTAATTTTGACTGTTTTGGATGGATGCTCGGAAGCATAGCAGGTGGGCTCCCCTGTCATCTTGGAGAGTTCCTGGTAACGCCAGGTGGCAGCCCAGCCCCTGACACCCTGTAAAGTTGGAGTCTGTTTTCTGCTGTCTCCTTTACGTCCTCAGTTTACACATATGGAGTAATTAGTGTTTGCCACCCCAGCACCAGGGCAGTCAGGATCCAGTTAGTGCTGAGTGTGAGGAAGCCCGCTGGCCCGGTGTTGGGGTGATCACCCTACCACAGGGACGCTTTAGAACAGAACAAACTAAAGCCAAGAGACATGATATCTTCCATAGCTGGCCTAGCGGCTGTGAGGGAAACTGCTGTAGAAATTCCAAATTCCAAATTCTAAAATGCAAATGAAATTCCAAGATCTGTGCCAGATATCATGGAGTATCTTCGCTTTGTTCAGCCTTTATTTTGTTCTATGTGCTATCCATAGAAACGAAGCCACGCTGAGGATCAGAAATATTCTGAAATGTGCACTGAAATGGCAGGTGTGGGGATGATAAATATTATGTACAAGAGCAGCCTCTCAGCTCCCAGTGGAGATGCTGAAACTGACAAAATGGCACCAGGGTGCCCAGTGCCAGCTCTGCCACCCAAGGTAAAAGCAGGGACAGCTTTGAACAGTACAAATGACAGCATTTCAAAATGACTCTTCTGTCCGTTTTGTAAAGTTAGGGAAATCAGACAACAAAAAATGAAAGAAAAAAAAATCACAGGGCATCTTTCCCCACAGAAAGCATCAATATGTTTTGTTTTGTTTTGTTTACTTTAAACAGGGTCTGAGAGTCAAACTATGATGCAAGACTGAAAGTGTGGAATTACCTTTAAATGTTTAGCATAGGCCACAGAACTTTTTGTTTTAAAAAAAATATTTTTTCTTAATGAAAAGTATGTGCTCAACACTTGATTTCTCATAACATCTCTCTTTAATGATGGACTTGAAAACGTTGGTGTGGCTTCTCCTCAAATTTCACTCTTCAGAAGCTCCAGTGTACAGCGTTTGCCATGAATTATTCCTACGTGTACACTGGCTAGCCAATGCATCCTGGCTCAGCAGGACAACTACCCATCTCTGGATCAATAATTCCCATGTGACCATGTGCAAAGCAGTTTCTTGATCAATATATACAGCTTCTGGGAAAGAGGCTTGCTTATCTCTGACTTGCTACCTACCAATCACCAGATTAAACTTCATTTCTATCCCATACCAACATTTTAAGTTAGGTCATCTGGAACTCTCCAAATTTGGTAAAAAAAATTTTTAAATAAAACTTGGGCTTACATTTATACAGCAACAATTAAAATTAATGCATCCTATTTGCCATATGGTTTATCCCTCTTTGGAAAATGAAAACTTCATGGACCCTCTGTCCAAGTTTGACTGTGGTGTTCTGACATGGCAGGCACACATTTGTGTAATACCCATTTTTCTAAAACGTATGGAATGAGCCATTCGGCCGACATTAATTTTAGAAAGTATCCCTCTGGGGCTAAAAAATATATTGTCATTAGTCACTGCAGGCTGCTCCCAGAGGAAGAAAGAAAAGCACTGGAGTGGGCTGAAAGTTTTACAATATTGAGGGGCTATTTCTGCTTCCTGCTCTCAGCCTTCTTTCCTAGTTCAGGAGAACGTAACATGTTGCTGTCCTCTGACTTCTGCCCAGGCTGGTCAAGAGAAGGGCCCCAAGAAATGTCAGCCCCAACCCCTCCTACTTTTCCTCCACAACCGCCTCCTGTCTGATGCCCAGAGCCTCGCCTGCCGGGCCTGGGGTGCCTGTGGGGTTCTCTGCCTCGAAGGGACATGTAGCAACTTGCCCTCATGTCTAGGTGCTGATGCCAGTAATCTGTAGAACAGTGTGTAACATTAGGTTGAAAGTAACTGCTGTGCTCTTTAAAGGAAGATGCTTCAAATCACATGGGTTCTTGAGCTTTGCGATTCTACGGATTCCTGAATGTTCAGTCCAAGGTGTCCACAGCCCAGGAAAGCTGCACTGTGTCACACTGGAGTGTGTGGCAGTGGATGCAGACAGAGTGGAGAGCGTGTCCTCGGGCCACCCAGACTTGCAGATTAGGCTAGCGCAGAGGACGGAGAAAGTGTTCTCTATACTCACATTCTACTCCTTTTTCTCCTACCTTGGAAACAGTACCGCAGGGGGTTCATAGATCAGGGAGATGTACCACACAACTGAAAAGCAGAGCTGCGAGCGTCAGGCAGCTGGGCTGATTCAGTCAGTCGCCAGCTGTGCAGCTAGTCCTGTGAGGCTCTGGGTGCACGTGGCACGGAAGGGGGGTGCTGTTCCACACCTGAACTGCCATTTCCTAAGTGACCATCATGTCTTCAAGGTATCTTCCTTCCATCCCACGCTGGGCGTGACTTTTACTTAGGGAACTTCACTCCTTGCTCATCAATACGCAGTAACTGCCATGTTTTGAGTCCAAGCACCCCCCTCACCCAGGCCCCACTTTACCTCCTTCTTACCAGTTGCTAACATGCACACTCAGCTAGAGCCAGAATGTCAGCACTACCCTACAAGCATCCTGTGCCCTAAATCACATCCTCAGCGAACTTGCATATAGTTGCCAAATTGCTGTTGCTGAGGCATTTATAGATTCTAAACTCATTACTTAGAGCCAGAGTTCTTTCTGTTGCAAGAAGAACAAACACCCCAAAAAGTGGAGAGGAATTCCTCTGAGCCCTGGTTACACTGACACAGGCGTGCACGAGCAAGCACTCACACACACACTCACACACACACACACACACACACACACACACACTACCGGGAGACAGGTCCAGACAGAGACAAGAAAACAGACAGCAGAAAAGATAAAGGAAGTAAATCAATGCCAGTTGCTTTCTTGGTTTTCAAACACACAATGACCTTGCAAATGGCAATGTTAAAGAAATGCTATTATGAGATTTACCAAGGCCACCTAATTTTTGATTAGAAGAAAATAGGAGAAAGCTATTAACAGATTCCCAGATACCCTTGCTTATATCCTAAGCTGATCATGGATTCAATTTTCAAGGAAGTCGCATTACCACCTCTATGGAAATCATTTAATTATAAAATCACATTATCTGATATCCAGAAACTTAAGAAAAGCAAAACCTTGGGTAAGTAAGCTAATCTGTATATAAAATAGTTATATTCATCGCAAGGGTAAAATATTTAAAATATCTGAGTTTAGGGGCCAAAGATAACCCTAACTATGAAATGACAATATAGAAGTAGGACATTAACAATTATATTGTTTAGTGATTGATGACGTTACATTTATTCCTTCACGCTTTGCTCTGGGGAGATGGATTACAACTTTTGAAACATGTAGAAGCCTCGGTGATGTGTGTGGTGGGTGGGCCTACCCATGAGGTCTTGTGGACTCCTACACAGATGTGTACACAGATATTTCTATAAGTACATCTTGACCTCTTAAGCATCAACAGGAATGTGAGAAATCCACTTGGGAGAGCATTCAGGAGGCTTAGTGAGTGCCCATTAAACAAGGGAGATGTTGAGTCCGATGACTTGTCCCAGACATTGTGCCATGCACAGCAGGTAGTTGATGCCACAAGTAATACTTAGGTAAATAATTGAATAACTTTTGGGTGTGTGCACATCCGAGCAAGCTGTTATTCTGAAAGCACACAGCGCCATGTCTTGGCTCACCCATGCACAAACATTACTTTTAGGGTCTCCACTGTATTCAAAAGTATAATTCATCTCCCCATCAACACCGCACCAAGGTGTAAACACAGTCTCATGAGTCATTTAGTACATGGGGTAGAGCAGAGCTGCAAGACCAAGCTGAACAGTCAGTTAAAGAATCCAGTAACCGAGTGTTGATTACTAATCCAATGCACACCAAGCAACCACTTCTTGTTAAAGACAACAATGAAAAATAAACAAACATAATTTCAGCATGAAATTATCAGGAATATTTTGCAATGGAAAGCCAAAATTCCCAATATGTTGTTCTGGCAGAAGATCTGAGCACTGTGCAAGCCAGAGATGTTCACACGGAGCCAGTTATCACCACATTCACACAGCCTTTGACATCTTATGCAACTGGGGTTCTTCCTGTGGGGACAGCCACACACAAGTCACTCGCGACATGTCACCAAGCAAGTTCTGTCTCAGAAATAAACTGCCACAATTTCTAGATGGTATGCAGCACAAAAGTAGTAAATGAATACTTCGTGATGCAGTTTTATTCGATAAAGGTCTTCGTCATTGACATTCACTTCTAATGAGATTGCTCTGAGGCCTTGAAAATATTGTGATGACGATGATGGTGATATGATTTGTCAGGCAGTCTTCATTTAAGGACAGAGCACAGGACCAAATTCCATCAGGGTGTCATTTCCCTTTTTACCCATCGCCATGCAAATAAGCACAGATCCTCTCGGTTGTTACAGTAATAGTGCTACGACCATGCTATTCATTGTAGAGACTGTCCTCCCGGATGTTAAGAGAGGACATGCCTCCTTGTCCAAG